CAGGAGAGGTGAGTGTTACATTTCCTGCATATCCTTCCAAAGTATTTTTCCCATAGTGTATCAGATTAAAATTTTTTAAAGAATTATTTTATTTAACTTTATTTATTTATTTTAATTTGACCAGAGAGGGACAGAGCAAGAGAGAAAGAAAGTGAGAAGGAAAGCTCCCAGGTCCAGGACTTGAACCATGGTCAGTCATGTGGAAGTCCAGCACCCTTAACCACCACGCCACCTGCCCACCCCAATGTACCAGATTTTTGTAAGTGTCCATTTCTCCCTTCCATAAATGTGAGCATACAACATACCATGTTCTTTGCCTTGTTCTTTTTCTTCATTGTGAAGATCATATGAATAAACAAAGAGGTTTCTGATAGCTATGTAGAATTTCATCATAAGGACATACAATAATTTATTTAATCAGAACTATTATTTTCTAAAGTAAACCTACTGTCCATCCAATTTTCCATTTGATATTAGGTTATAAAACATCTACAACTCTCCTAGGCCTTTAAAACCTGTACCTGATTCTGGAATATATTCCTAATGCCAGCATCTGAGTATGTTTGACACAGTTTCAGGTCAACTGAGCATTTCTAAATTAGATGTTAGGGCTTTGTTATTTCAAATAATTTCTCACCAGTTACAAGTTGTCCCTCAATATTCACTTGTTACTTTCTCTTTTCTCTCCCCAAGTCCGCTAATCGCATCACGTCACATTCCAGTTTGCTTATCGTTCCATAACTTCCTATGACCACAAAGCCAAGTAGAAACCAAACTCTCCATTTTAAGTTGAATTATGACATATTTCACAATCTATTAGCACAATTTCTAGTTACCAGAAGACACTAATTTGTGTAGCCATGGGCATTCATGAATTTTGTATTCATTTACACAAGGAACAAAAGTGTTGCATGTGTTTTACACACAAAATATTTTCTCCCATATCAGATCATCCCAAAGCTATGTAGTGGCAGAGCCAAGAGCAATCCACATGGGCAGAAACAAGGTCAACTTACTAAGTAGCAGGAATCACAGCAATTCAGAATCAAAGTTACTGAACCTTTGAGAGAGACTCATGTGATGAAAAAATAAGACCCCCAAAAGTTATGTCTTCCTTTGAAATCAAGAAGGGTCCCAATAGTGATGCCAGGATAGGCAATTTATAAATTAATAAATGACTCCTACAGTGTACCAAATATAAGCAAAACAAAATAGGCAATAGTTTGGGTAATCATAGTGCGCCAAAGGAATCACACATAGCAATTATCAGTTTATTGAGAAAATATCCCTGCTAAATTTATATCTAAACTGTAAATTAATATATTTCCAGTATTCATAAATTACTATTGTTTAGTTACTATCATAGAAAACACTCTTTTTTTTAGAGAGAGATTTTTGCTAAAGGTTGTGTGTGTGTGTGTGCGCTCACCACAGAGACAGAGAGACACAGATACAGAAAGTGAGAAGTCACCCCCACCCCAGGCGGTGGCCACACTGCAATCTTTTCCATTCACCTTTTGGGTTTTGGAGCATGCACGCACACACGCCCAGTGTGAGTTTTAAGCTGCTGGGTCTGGGACTTGAACTGTGCTCGACTACGTGGAAGTCCAGCAATGTAACCATGATGCCATCTGCTGGTCTTAGAAAATACTCTTTCAAAGAAACAAAAGTAAACTGAGCCACAGATCCTTGGTGAGGCATGCATGCATAAGCAAACTTAAAAAAATACTCAGTCCAGATGAAAGGATATTGTAAATATGAGTTTACACAATTGCCCTCACAGGCCTACTCTATTCTTCCAGTAACGCCTGAAGGAAAATGGCATCGAAAGAAGTGAGGTGCTTTAAAAGTCAATTCAATTAAATCAAGTAAATCAAGGAATTCCGGCTGAAGCCACAACTGACTAAAGACCAGAAAGGATAGGTAATAACCAACTTTTCATTTAATAAACACTGTATTGTTTTAAGAATTATTTAAAATTTTTCATTATTATTATTATTTAATTTGTGATGGGGCACATGTGCTCACCAGAGAGAAACAAAGAGAGAGAGAAGGAAAATGAGAATTCATGTTGCCAGACCTGGGAGTCCAAGCACGTCAGCCATGTGGGAGTCCAGTGCCCTAGCCACTACGCCACCTGCTGTCCCATAAACATTGTATTTTTGAAAGTTTCTTTCTTTCTTTCACGACACAGAGAAACAAGAACTCTCAGCAGTCTCATGCTGTGATTGCTACCCCTCCCCCAACTCTCAGACTTCCTGGAAAATGGGCCCAACATCAGCCTTCAGAGTTGGACTGCGGAATGGAAACTGAGAACGTCCACATGGACCCAGCATCGCTTGAGCAGGATCAGTACTGTGCCACTGAGCTGCTCATATTAAACATCACTAGGTACAGAAGGATCATCTGTCTCTTCCCTTTTAAACAACAGGATATTAAACAAGAAGTACATTTCTTTGTTATAGTTTATATCTTATACGATTAGAGACATTTACACAGCTCTGTGCGTCTTTCAGTCTGGTAAGGTCTATTATAAGATTGACTCACCTGGAGAAGATTAGGGTCTCCTTTTGTTTCAAGTAAATCCTGAGTTACAAGAAGAGGCTCGCTTTTCTCGCAGCTCTCCTGGCTGATGAGCGTGTCCGCGTAGTTGGGCTGGGGGAAGATCAGGTTCCGTGAGTCCGCGGTGAGGGAGACCTCGTGGGAATAGGTCTGCAGGAAAGCCCGCACCCCGTCCACGCCCACGAAGTGTGAGGCCGGCACACTTGTCAACCTGCCACTTGCAGCCTGGAGCAGGCGTGATGAGTGCCAGCGCCGCAGCCTGAGCGCCAGCAGCACAATGACAAAGGCCAGGAAGACGCAGGAGACCGTGGCAATAGCCACCACCAGGTACAGGGTAAGGCCTGAGTCATCCTGGTCAGCTGAAGGCTTGAGGCTGCCCAAGTCGGCCAGGACATCAGGAATACTGTCAGCTATGGCCACAGTGAGCGTGACAGTGGCCGAGAGAGGGGGCTGGCCATGGTCCTGGACGGCCACCACCAGGCTCTCCTTTAGCGCGCCTCAGCAGGGCCCGCGCTGTGCGCACCTCCCCCGTGTGCAGCCCCACCATAAACAGCCCTGGCTCACTGGCCTTGAGCAGGCGGTAGGACAGCCAGGCATTCTGGCCTGAGTCTTTGTCCACCGCCACCACCTTGGTCACCAGGTATCCGGGCTCTGCAGAGCGGGGCGCCAACTCCACACCAGTAGAGCCATCAGTAGGGAGGGCGGGGTACAGGATCTCAGGCACATTGTCATTCTGGTCCAGCACAAACAGGTTCAGGGACACATTGCTGCTGAGTGGTGGGTCCCCACTGTCGCTAGCTGTCACCAGCAGCTGCAGGTCTCTAAATTGTTCATAATCGAAGGAGCGCAGTGCATACAAGACACCAGTATTGGAGTTAATGGAGACATAAGAGGATAGAGGTGCACCCTGGAAACTGTCCTCAGCCAAGGAGTAAGTGACTCTGGCATTGTCACCACTGTCAGGGTCCTGGGCACTCAGGGATAAGATGGAGGCTCCTCTGGGGTTGTTTTCAGGAATGTAGGCAGAGTAGGAGGGATGAGGGAAGGTCGGGGGGTTGTCATTGATGTCCACCACATGCAAGAAGATGTGAGTTTCTGTAGACAGAGGAGGAGTTCCCTGGTCAGTGGCAGTAACTGTGATGTTGTATTCTGAGACTTCTTCCCTGTCCAGAGTTCTGTGTGTCAACAACCGGTGATAATTTCCATAGGTTTTTTCAAGTGTGAATGGTATGTCATCCGGAATTGAACACATGACAAGGCCATTATTTCCTGAGTCACTGTCATGCACATTGAAAAGTGCAATTACTGTACCCGGGGAAGAAGTTTCTTGGATTGAGTTGGAAAGAGATGTAACTGTGACTTCTGGAGCATTGTCGTTTACATCCAGAACTGTCACCAGCACCTTGCTTCTGGCTCGAAGACCAGGTCCGTCATGTGCTTCTACGTCGATGTCATAGAATCCAGAATCCTCATAATCTAGATCGCCCAGTACTGTGATGTCACCAGTCAGAGAATCCAAATGGAATAGCTGGGATATTTTGTCTCTTACTTTCCGGAAAGAATATGTCACTTCTCCGTTGGCTCCTTCATCTGGATCAGTGGCTTTTATGTTGAGTAGCCTGGTGCCCACTGGCACATTCTCCTGCACACTCACGTGGTACTCAGGACGAGTGAATACCGGAGCATTATCATTGGTATCCACAAGTGTTATGTGGATCCTGGCGGTGCCAGAGAGAACCGGGTGGCCTCCATCGAAGGCAGTGAGGACCAGGTGGTGAGCTGCTTCTTCCTCCCGATCCAGGGCCTGCTCCAGCACCAGCTCGGGGTACTTAATCCCATCAGATCCGCTTTGCACGTCAAGAGAGAAGTGACCATTCGTGCTGAGTTGGTAACCCTGCAGGGAGTTTACCCCCACATCCAGATCAAAAGCTTCAGGGAGAGGAAATCTTGTCCCAGGATTTTCACTTTCAGAGACTTTTATTTCTCTCTGTTCCGTCCCAAAGCTGGGTGCATTATCATTAACATCGATGATTTCCACTTCTACTCCAAAAATCTTCACTTTGTCCTCTAGGAGAATCTCCAGGTTTGCCACACACTTTGGAGATCTGTCACAGAGCTCCTCCCGGTCTATCCTGCCCGCGGTGACCAAGCTGCCGCTTCGCGGGTTCAGATCAAAGAGCTGCGTCCTACCTCGGGAGACGATGCGGACTCCGCGCTCCGCCAGCTCCCGGGGCTCCAGTCCCAAGTCCTTGGCGATATTGCCCACGAAGGAGCCCTTGTCCAGCTCCTCCGGCACCGAGTAGCGGATCTGTTCGGTCCGGATTTCCCACAGAGACCCCAGGAGAACGCTGATTCCGACCAGCCAGCTGCAGTGTGGGCGATGAAGACGAGCCGCCATTGCAGCCCCGCCACAGAGTCTGCGCTTCTGTTTTCTCTCTGGGGAGGTCCGAGGAGCCCTAGGATCTTCAGAATCCAAGATAACCAGCCTTCACCGTTGGATATCAGAGCTTTCAGGAGCTCAGGCTGAAGATGTCATAAAGCTCCAGAGTCAGTGCTTTATACTGCTGAAATCTTGTGGTTCGGGTTAAATTCCTGGTTGTCTTTTTTCCCCTCATTGGTGAACAGCGACACTCAGAGCCCTAACTCGTTACTGCAATTTATTCTTGGCAAATTCTTAGAAGTATCATTTTTGTACACACTTTCCATTCCTAACTTCATTTTTCTCAAGAGAAGAAAAGTTGCATTCCTTTGGGTTGATTTGCAGTAAAAATTCAGGGATGATCCAAATTTGCCTTACAGTAAACTTCAAAAATTTTCTATTTTCTTTGAGGAAAAAGTTAGTTTGGGGGCTAAGACTGTTCTTGACCTCTTTTCAGTGTTTGTGTTCATCCCCACAGCCTATTCTCAGTGCAGTGTACTGTGTGAGAGACAGTGATCCCTCCTAGGAACAAGGGTAGCATTGAAGAATGGAGGGGAGGGAAAATGAAAAGACAATGACCAGCGAGGGGGGGGCTCTAGTCCCAACCTAGTGAGTTTTCCTACATGTGTTGACCCTTTAGACTTGGGGTAAATTTTCCTTTTTTTTTTTTTTGCAAGAATAATACCTACTATTCAAGAGATACTCTTACTCCTGCGCAAACAGGCTTGGAAACCATGATCACAGGTTTGGGAAGAGAACTTACTCATTAATTTTGTGTGCAGTGGATTAGGCCACAAGCTATGCCCATGACTATCTTGTTCACAATGTGTCCTTCATCTTTAGCACAGCACCATGTATAAGTAGGCACTCAACAGATATTTATTCACTGTTTGGTAAAAAAAAGTGCAATGCAAATGCAAAGCTGAAAACCATGGATAAATAACCCTGATCTTAAGAACAAATCATAGCGAGAAAAAGAAAAGTTAGACTAAAGTACCGTACAGAATAAATAATATTTCAATGTGTTTTATATGATATACTCAGTTTTATTTGATGATTATTTATTTTTTTATTTTATTTTTCCCCCTTTTAAAATTTGTTATAGGGCAAGTGCACTTGCCAGAGAGAATAAGTGAGAAAGTGCCTCCAGAGAGGATGGCCATAGCACAATCCCTTCTCCCCTCGAGAGTTTGGGCACTCACAGAGATGCCAGGCATGTGTTTTCAAGCCACTGGGTGCAGAACTGGGACTGCACAGTCAGCCATAGGGGATCCAGATGCCTCAACCATCACACCACATGGCTGGCCCTACTTGACCATCATTTTCAAGCTTACTTTAACTTGAGTTTCAGAAATAGTTAATAAAAGGAAATATTTTCGTAGTTGTATATGCATTATCATGACATGTTTCATGGCTTTTTTATTCAGGAATACTTCTTAGTAACTTACAAATCTGAGAAAAATTTAGATAAAGCAGTAAATTGCTAGTTCTATAGATTATTCCTCACTTAAAAATCAGTGTTTAGGAATGACTCGCACATTTTAATGATCTACACCAATCCATTAACCATCCAAGATTTCTAAATCTTCAGGCCTTCAGAGAATAGATTAAATGTGTTTTTCACTATGGTCAAAGGACTCATAAGTTGCTGTGAAATGGTAAGATTAAATGAGATACTTTGGGAATAAACTCGATGATACGCAAAAAGAAATCTCAAATGTTTGTAGATTTGACTCCCTTCTCAGAAACGTACAGTGCAGAAACAGTAAGAGATATGGGAAAAGCTTCATAAACAAAAATGCTTATTACATCTCTCTTATAGTAGTGACCAAATAAAAAGAGCACACAAATACAGAAAGAATGGTTAGAAAATTACGAAGCATCTTTAATTATGAAGTGGAATAACACTGACCTAATATTAATGATTCAAATGTAAAATTTGACCACTTTCGCTACTTGTGATGTAAGGAAGAAGTGTTAAAGCTTAATTATTGGAGGGTTGTATTAATATGCATATTACAGCCAAAGGTAAACAACTAGAATGTAATTGATAAACTTTTGACTTGGGCAGAAATAACTATCAATACATTTATAAAGAATTAAACATAGGATTACTTGACCAAAAAAAGAGTATGATACATCAACTGAGAAATTGTACACTCACTAAGTGAGGTAACATGCAGAAAATAGCTCCTTTTTTTTTTTTTTTTTTTTTCTATAGGGCGTGTGCGCTCGCCACACAGAGAGAGAGAGAGACAGACGCTCGCCAGACAGAGAAAGACAGAGAGACAGAAAGTGAGAAATCACCCCTCATGGGGGAAAGCCACGCCACAATCCCCTCTCCTCCATTCTCCTCTCGAGATCTTGGCAAGCACGCACACGTGCCTGGCATGAGTTTAAGCTGCTGGGTCGGGACTCGAACTGCAGTTGACCACGTTGGAGTCCGGTGACATAGCCATTATGCTAACTGCTGGTCTCGAAAATAGCTCTCTTTAGCAAGATTTGCAAACCATACAGAAATGCCAACAATCAATATTGAAAATCAGAAATCGTAATTGCCAAGATTATTGAGCAGCGAAGGACTGTATCTCCACTCACCCAATACACAAGACCATCCTTCACTAGATCCCATCCCAAGAACAATTTTAAATAATCACAATTAATTATGCACGATTAAAAAAAAAGTAAAACATAACATTGAAACAGGTTTGGAGAAACTTACCTGAGTGGAAAAAGAAGAGCCGTAAGAGATTTGGGGAGCTTCGTCACTGGCACATGCGACAGTAGAAGAGTCATCACACAAGAGATCCTGGGGGGGAGCCATTTCTGGTGCCTTGCTGAGGAAATTAAACTCTGCAGAATGCGTGGCAACGCACAGGTTGTAGGAATAGGGCAATGTCCCTTCGCTGTAGTTGGGAGGAACAACGGGTCCAGACTTTGAACAGAGACCAGATTGAAAGCAGCCCTCTCTGGTGAGGCTGGAGGAACTTCGCAGGCGCAGGGCGACCGCCAGAATCACCGCGAGCAGGAAGAGCACAGAGATCAGGGCCAGGGCCACCACCAGGTAGAACTGCAGCTCGGCCTGGGGGTCAGAGGGCGCAGGACTATCGCCCAGGTCTGGCAGTACCTCTTGCAGGCTATCAGCGAAGACCAGGTGCAGCGTGGCGGTGGCGGAGAGGGGTGGCCGCCCTCCATCTCGCACAGCCACCAACAGGCGCTGTCGGGCCGCGTCAGGCTGAAGAGTCCTGGGTCGCTGGCCTGCAGCACGTGGTAGGACAGCCAGGCATTGTGTCCGGAGTCAGCGTCCACCGCCACCACCTTGGTGACCAGGTAGCCGGGTTCCGCCGCCCGAGGCACCATATCGAAGAGCGCGGAGCCGTCGGGTCCCAGCGCGGGGTACAGCACCCGCGGCGCGTTGTCGTTGAGGTCGCCCACCAACAAGCGCAGGCTCACGTTGGCGCTGAGCGCGGGCGAGCCCTGGTCTCGAGCCTGCAGCGTCAGCTGGAAAGTTCTCAGTTGCTCATAGTCGAAGGCGCGCTGCGCAAATACCACTCCACTGTGCGAGCTCACCGACACGTAGGACGACAGCTCTTTTGGATCTAGGTCGCTTGCTATGATGGAATAGGAAACGCTTCCGTTGGGCCCCAAGTCGGGGTCAGAGGCGCTGACCTGCGCTATGGAAATGCCAGGGGAATTGTTCTCTGCCACGTGGACTATGTAGGAGGCCTGGTGGAAAATAGGTGCATTGTCATTGACGTCAGCGATATGCAGGGTGATGCTTGTCCTGGAAGAGAGGGGTGGCTTGCCCCTATCGATGGCTGTGATGGTGACATTGTACTCTGCAGTCTCCTCCCGGTTTAACCTTCTGTCAATCACCAGCTTGTAATAATTCTTGGAAGTGGATTCTAATTTAAAGGGAACTGCTTCCTGAATATGGCAAGTCACAAGACCATTTTGCCCAGAATCCTGGTCCTGCACTTTAATGAGGGCTATTATGGTTCCTAACTCTGAGTCCTCTGGAATCTGGTTAGTAGATGACATGAAAGTCACCTCTGGGGCATTGTCATTCTCATCAACAATTTCGATCTGAACATTACAGTGAGCCGTGTGCACACCTCCATCCCTGGCCTCTACACCCAACATATATCTACTTGTCTCTTCAAAATCCAAAGTACCATTGGTTGTGATGGCGCCAGTATTTGGATTGAGAATGAAAATGAGGCTGGTACTTGTTGGGGCATTGAGGAAGGCATAAGTGATCTCTGCATTAACGCCCTCATCTTGGTCTGTGGCCATCACCTGCAGCGCGAAAGTTCCCTGGGGCACGTTTTCTCGGAGGCTGACTCTGTAGATGTCCTGGCTGAACACAGGAGCATTATCATTGGCATCAGTGACTTGGATCTGAATCTGGGTGGTGCCGCTTAGAGGGGGGTCCCCGCCATCCACAGCAGTCAGTATTAAGCGATGGGAGGTCTGATGTTCTCTGTCTAGAGGTTTTTCCAGCAGTAATTCTGGATATTTACTTCCATCAGGACTTTCCTTGGTTGACAGAGAGAAGTATTGATTGGAGTTGATAGTATACATCTTCAGTGAATTCGCTTCTACATCTGCATCTTGTGCAGAATCCAGGGGAAATTTTACTCCCGGCAAGGCTGACTCACAGATTTCTAAGTCAATGCTTTTTGCAATGAAATGTGGTGCATTGTCATTAATATCTTGGATTTTAACAGTCACGTGGAAAACACTCATTGGATTTTCAGTGAAGGTTTCGAATTCTAGAGCACACTCAGCTTTCCTTGCACAAATCTTCTCTCGATCTATCCTGCCGCTCACCAACAAATCCCCGCTCTCTGCACTAACGTTGAAATAATCCTCTACACTGACCCGCAGTTTTCGGACTGGCAATTCCTGAACACTAAGCCCCAGATCCTTGGCTAGGTTCCCCACTCGGGAACCCTTGGCCAGCTCCTCAGGAATCGAGTAGTAGATCTGCTGGGAGATGGCCCCGCAGAACAAAGACAGCAAGAAGGGAAACAGTACCTGATTTTTCATCGTTCCGTTTCTCTGGCGCTCCCTGGGATTTCTTGAATTCTCTCAGAAGCTTCTTTTCAAGATTTCTCTGGTATGTTTTTTTAAAAAATCACCAACAGCATCCCCAAGTTTTGTGATTTGAGGTAGGGCGTATTAGTTAGGTGCCTGAGGGTGCACAAGAAAAACATTTGCGTTCCTGTGTGTGCTGGCAAAGCCGGAAAACACTGCAGACTATGGCAGAATTGAAAGCCTCTTTCTTCCCTTTGGCCAACAGCGACACCCAGAGGTTGTCTTGGAACACTGCATATTGCTAACTCGTGCAAACTCAGGGGCAACAACTCTAGTCTATTTAATTTGTCCTAATTTGCTGGAAAGAACCAGATATTCACATTTGCCGCTTAAAGTTGATATTTTCTTGTTTGCCACCATCTCATAAGAGTCGTCATCATTTCACATTCTTTTTTCTCCATTAGAAAACTCACAAGGCATGCAGTCATGTTTTCAGTTTTGACGGCAAACATATCTTCAATGACTTCTGTTGGCATGACCGATGCATCCAAATATGTCGATGGATATTTATTGATATTTTTAGTAGGTTATGAACCTTACAGTTCTAAAATTCACTGGAATAACTTCCCTTATTTAGTACTTAAAAGCTCTGCATATATACATTATCAATTCAGTGGACTTTTCAAGAAGCATCTTCACAAAAAAAGAAGTCAAAGCTCTTTATAATGTATTGCTCTTCTTCATAAAACATAATCTTCCCAATTAAGTAAAGTAGAGCTTGAAGTTTTGTTAAAGGGACCAACTTAGTATTTGGTGCATGGTTTTATAAAGTTGACTCTTGTGCAAGCCATATTTATTTTCATGAAACCAGTGGTTCTTTTCTTTATGAATGTATATATAATACTCTGTAATGTCATTTTTTAGCTCCAGCCAATTTACATAATTAATAACGGAATTAAGTTTGACTTGATCACTAGTAAATCTTGGAGAGATATTGAGAATTTTTAGATTACTCCATCTTAGAACTTATCCTATAATCCTTGAACCGTCTTGGGTAACTCAGAGGAATGAATCCCTTTATTACAAATGCACTATCACGTTAGATGACAACGCAATAATTTATTCTTTTTTAAAAAATATTTTTATTTAGCCTTATTTATTTATTTAATTTGACCAGAGAGGAATAGAGTGAGAGAGTGAGAGAAAGTGAGAAAGCAAGCCACCAGGTCCAGGATTCGAACCATGGTCGACCATGTGGGAGTCCAGCACCCCTAACTACCACACCACCTGCCAGCCCTACAACGCAATGATTTATTCTATTTCATAGTGTTCACTCATACTCATTTTCTACTCTGATCATAACAGACTGTTAACCTGTTTTCTTAAGACCCCCCCTTCCCTATGTCATGACTTTGAGTTTTTCAGTCCTTTTATGAATTTATCCTTCTTTGTAATGATTCTTGCTATCCACAAGGAAAAAAGAAAAAACATTTTTTCTAAGAATTAAAAAAATTCAACTTTATTTATTTTAATTTGGCCAGAGAGGGACAGAATGAGAGAGAAAGAGAAAATGAGAAAGCAAGCTGCCAGATCCAGGATTTGAACTGCAGTTGGCCATGTGGGAGTCCAGCACCCTTAACCACCACACCACCTGCCGACCCCAGAAAAAAATCTTTTTAATGAAAATAGGATGTCTGAACAAGGTGGAAATTGAACTGCCTTTGTACTTTCAGTGTATTTTTAGGACACACGTGTCGGTTATGTTTCATGTAGGATTATCAGAAATGTCTCATTGACCATCTAAATTCCCCCTAACCCTTTTCTCCTTATATGTAAAGTAGTACTATAAAGATTTTTTCCTAAAAAGGAAAGGCCTAAGGGTGTGTCTTTTTAGTTTTGTTAAATTCTGGGATGTGATTGGATGGTTGAGTGAGAAGACACCTTTCTCTGTTAATTTATTTTGTGCAGGCCCTGTGTTTTACACATTTGAATGTGCCTTCTCCTACTAAGTGGGAGATTAGTCCCTTGGTTTGATTTTTAATGAGTTCTATTTTGGTCTAATTTTGGATGCCACTGTTAAAGTGATAATTCACAAATTTCTGAGTGGGTCAACAATTCCTAGCCCAAGCAAGTGAAAGAACACGGTCAGGACTCCTATTCCATCGTTACAGTGAATAGTCCGGATGGTCCGGAAATATTCTGCAGAGGCTTGAGACATACATTTTACATCTTAAAAATCCTTTCAAAGGACAAAGAATGGCACTCCAAGGTCCATGACAGTTTAGGCAAGTGAATTTTCTCTTCAGACCAAAGGCCAAAGTCAATATGAACACACAGACACCACACACACGTACATTTTAGACACTATAGGTAAAACCATCTGACCAACCTCTACTTTTTTATTTTACAATTTGTATGTCATTGAGATGAAAACAGTGTGGTCTGGCTTGGAGAGAGTCAAATATAATTTTATGGAAGCACAAAACACCTTGTCTTCTTAGATTTTTTTTTTTACTAGTTTGTATTAGGATTGGCAAAGTAGGCTGCAGTAATGAACTTCACATGGCAGAAATAAAATGTAAAAGTCCTATTTATCACAGACGGGCAGACAGAAAATAGACGGAGCAGTCACAATCCAAAGAGTGACTTAGAGATCTGGGAACTCACGCAATAGCAATTAGCACTTCCTCCGGGAAGTAACAGAAGTTACATTCACACACAGGGTACTGGCCAGAGCTGGTCACCTGGACCCAGGAGAGGCACAGATGTATAGAAAACAGGACCAGTGAATAACTCATTGCATTGTTACTCAAATGTGTTAAACTTTTAAAATAACTTCATCAGCATAACTGTTCCTTATAATAGTCAAATAAACAAACTCACCTGGAGAAGCTTGGGGTCTCCTTTGTTTTCAAGTAAATCTTGAGACAACAGGAGAGGCTCGCTTTTCTCGCAGCTCTCCTGGCTGATGAGCGTGTCTGCGTAGTTGGGCTGGGGGAAAGGTGACTCTTCCGTGAGTCTGCTGTGAGGGAGACCTCGTGGGAATAGGTCTGCAGGAAAGCCCGCACCCCGTCCACGCCCACGAAGTGTGAAGTGGGCATGCCCGCCAGTCCACCTCCCGCAGCCTGGAGCAGGCGTGATGAGTGCCAGCGCCGCAGCCTGAGCGCCAGGAGCACAATGACAAAGGCCAGAAAGACGCAGGAGACCACAGCCACAGCCACCACCAGGTACAGCGTGAGGCCTGAGTCACCCGGGTCAGCAAGGGTCTTGATGCTGCCCAGGTCAGCCAGAACGTCAGGAATGCTGTCTGCCACAGCCACGGTAAGCGTGACAGTAGCGGAGAGAGGAGGCTGACCATGATCCTGGACGGCCACCACCAGGCTCTGCTTGAGCGCGTCTCTGTCCAGCAGGGCCCGCGCTGTGCGCACCTCGCCCGTGTGCAGCCCCACCATAAACAGCCCGGGCTCGCTGGCCTTGAGCAGGCGGTAGGACAGCCAGGCGTTCTGGCCTGAGTCTTTGTCCACTGCCACCACCTTGGTCACCAGGTAGCCGGGCTCTGCAGAGCGGGGCGCCAGCTCTACGCCGGTGGAATCGTCTGTGGGGAGACCAGGATACAAGACCTCGGGGGCGTTATCGTTCTGGTCCAGCACGAACAGTCTCAGTGACACGTTGCTGCTGAGTGGAGGGTCCCCGCTATCACTGGCTGTCACCAGTAGTTGCAGGTCTCTAAATTGTTCGTAGTCAAAGGAGCGCAGTGCGTACAGTACGCCGGTGTTGGAGTTGATGGAGATATAGGAGGATAGAGGCGCCCCCTGGAGGGTGTCTTCCGTCAGTGAATAAGTGATGCGGGCGTTGTCGTCGCTGTCTGGGTCCTGGGCCTTCACGGAGAAGATGGAGGCTCCTCTGGGATTGTTTTCAGGAATGTAGGCAGAGTAAGAGGAGTGGGAGAAGGAGGGAGGGTTGTCATTAATGTCTGCCACCTGCAGAGTAATGTGAGTCTCCGTGGACAGGGGCGGACTTCCCCTATCTGTGGCTCTCAGGCTGATGTTATATTCTGACATCTCTTCCCGGTCCAGAGATCTGGCGGTCACCAAGCGATAATATTGGCCTACTGATTTTTCTAAACGAAATGGTAGATTTTCTGGGATAAAAACTGTGACCTGGCCATTCTGCCCAGAATCTCGGTCATGTACGTTGATGAGAGCAATTTCTCTTCCTGCCGTTGCTTCTTCCAGGACTGAGCCTGTGAGAGAAGTAATTGTAATTTCGGGGGCATTGTCATTCACATCCAGAACTGTGACTAGAATCTTGGCTATTGAAAAAAGACCTGGCCCATCTTGTGCTTCTATTTTAATTTCATAGAACATAGCATCCTCATAATCTAGACTTTTTAATATTGTTATGTCTCCAGTCTTTGGGTTGAGATGGAAAACCTGAGCGATTTTCCCAGGCATTTTATCTAGAATATAGGACACTTGTGCATTGAATCCTTCATCAGGGTCTGTGGCATTGACCGTGAGCAGCCGGGTGCCCACTGGCACACTCTCCAGAACACTTACACTGTACTCGGGCTGAGTAAACACTGGTGGGTTGTCATTTGCATCCAGAACTATAACTCTGATGCCCAAGTTGCCAGAACGGACAGGGTCACCGCCATCAGTGGCAACAAGGACCAACTGGTGAACTTCTTTTTCCTCACGGTCCAGGGCCCTTTCCAGCACCAGTTCTGGGTACTTGGCCCCATCAGAGATGCTGTTTACAGTCAGGGAGAAGTAGTCATTGGAGCTGAGCTTGTAGTTCTGCAAGGAGTTCATGCCCACATCTGGGTCAAATGCAGTTTTCAGTGGAAATCGGGTTCCAGGAACTGTTAATTCACTAATTTTTATTTCTAATTCTTCTATTGGAAACTTAGGAGCATTATCATTAATATCTTTAATTTCTATTTCTACTTCAAAAATTTTCAATTTGTCTTCAACCAAGATGTTAAAACTCACCAGACACCGCGCGCTCTGAGCGCAGAGCTCCTCCCGGTCTATCCTGCCCGCGGTGACCAAGCTGCCGCTTCGCGGGTTCAGAGCGAAAAGCTGCGTCCTACCTCGGGAGACGATGCGGACTCCGCGCTGCGCCAGCTCCGGGGGCTCCAGCCCCAGGTCCTATTTTTATTTCTAATTCTTCTATTGGAAACTTAGGAGCATTATCATTAATATCTTTAATTTCTATTTCTACTTCAAAAATTTTCAATTTGTCTTCAACCAAGATGTTAAAACTCACCAGACACCGCGCGCTCTGAGCGCAGAGCTCCTCCCGGTCTATCCTGCCCGCGGTGACCAAGCTGCCGCTTCGCGGGTTCAGAGCGAAAAGCTGCGTCCTACCTCGGGAGACGATGCGGACTCCGCGCTGCGCCAGCTCCGGGGGCTCCAGCCCCAGGTCCTGGGCGATGTTGCCCACGAAGGAGCCTTTGTCCAGCTCCTCCGATACCGAGTAGCGGATCTGCCCGGATCCGGTCTCACACATCGTTCCTAGGAGAGCGCACAGCAGAGCCAGTCCTCTGCCATTTCGGAATCTCAGACGATTGGTCATTTCCTTTTTGGAGAATTAATACTTTCTTTGAATTCTGTTCCGATTTCGCACAACGGACTCCACTCTTACTTTCTCAAGAAATTAGGTCTATTGTGGGCCTAATTTATAGGTCACAGCGCCGGTCGATTCATGGGGCGAACTTGATAGCCGCTCGGATTTTCAGAGTCGGATTCGCCGGTTCTCTGCGTTTTAGGAGCGAGGAAATGGAGGACTAGCTCTCGGCGGCGTTTTTCTTGAGTGGTCAACAGCGACGCTCAGAGGCCTAACGGTTTACTGCACTCTATCCGACAAACCGAGTTAAATTAGTTTTCAGTTTCCCAACACCCGAGATGCTTTTAGTTAGAGGTAACGGGACTGGTGCTGATTTTCTATCACTTAATTGATACACGTTAACAATGGGACTTTAAGTTATCTTCCTTGGGAATCCACACACTAAGCGTAACACTACCAATATTGTCGCAAACATGGTGGAGTTACTGTTTCAAAATGTTCAGTTTAAGAACCACACTGAAATATCACCCACATGTAATTATAACTTATGTTTATTGAAGTCTGTCTTTGATAGCCTGGATCTTAGTTTCAGTACTTGTTGTTTAAAGGACTGATTAAACAAACACACAGCCGAGTGGCAGAAGTATGTTCATCTGGGGATTCAAGGTGCACAGTACAGAAACAGCCTCTTCCTTCACGGAGTTTATGAGAATGTAAAAGCAAGCAGTGCCTTGAGAGAACCACCATAATGGAAGAAGCCAGGTTGGATGGAGGATCCCCAACTTGGCCTTGGAGGTGAGTAAAGGCTTTCTCAGGAGATATGAGAGGAGTGGATCAGGGAAAAGGTCTGGACTTGAGAGAGAACAGCATGGCCATGTATCAGTGTGAGAGAGAAGTTAAAGACCTTCGGGGTACTGAAAGAAGTTCATTTTATTTAAATCTAAAGTGGGAGGATGTCTTTTAAAAAAACACAACTGAGGGGACCACCAGGTGGTGGGATGTCTTTTAAAAAAACACAACTGAGGGGAACCACCAGGTGGTGGGGGTGGTTAAGGTGCTAGACACTCCCACATGCCTGACCACTGTTCAAGTCCCAGACTTGATGACTTGGTTTCTCATTTTCTCTCTCTCTGGTCAAATTAAAATAAATGAATGACTAAATAAAATTAAATAAATAATTCTTTAAAAAAACACAACTGAAATGAAGAGATTAACTTTTAAAAAATTATTTAATTTTATTTATCATTATTACTATTTTTAATTTGTTACAGAACATGTAAACCCACCAGGCAGACAGACAGACAGACAGACAGACACACACACACACATACACACACAGGGGGAGAGAGAGAGAAAAAAAAAGTGAGAAAGCAAGCTGCCAGGTCTGGGATTCAAACTGTGGTCAGCCATGTAGGAGCTCCGCACCTTAACCAACACACCACCTGGTGGGCCCTAACTTTTGTTTTATATTACAGAATACTTTTCTCTGTATGTTTTCCTCTCCAAGCACAGAAATAAAAATAGAGTATCTTTGATATTTCAATCACAATGCATTTATTCTTGAGGGGTTACTACACATGCTGAAAAGGAACGTGTCTTTAATTTTCTTGTGTTGATATTTTATTGTTAACTTGTAAGTGCAGCTATCATGACATTACTCCACAGTGGGTTCCAATTTCACCTCACAGAGAACTGTGTAATATTAATAGACACAATGGAATACATTGCCCCAAATGTTGCCTTATCAGATGCCTTTAAATATAATAAATATCCCAGACACCTTAACCGCCATGCCACAGGCTGTCATAGCACCTTGAGAGATATACCATTAAATGTAAGACTCAATTAGTACATGATTACTTCCAAATCAAAACCAAAAAAAGATCCAGTTACACAGAATATTAGTGTGCTCATTCTTCTCTGTTATTAAGAACATAACCAACATATAAAAGTCAAGGCAGGAAGAGAAATGGGGAAGGCAAATGTGGTCATGGGGGGTAGTGGGGTTGGGTGAGTGGCTGGGAACACATTTAACAGCTGCTGTGAGTAGAAAATTTTGAGAGGAGAGTTGTGGAAAGAGGATCTTTAGGGGCAATGGTATACTATGGTCTCTGAAACCTTTGTATCTTTAAATGAAGGTAAATTGAGAATATGCATTATTTTCAAAATTAAAAAGGCAATATAGTTTCCAGATATGAGAAAAATAAAATTACACATGAAGAGAAATCTGTTTACTATTACTACTACTGTACTAATTTACTACACAGCAAGTGATGTCAGTCTTTTTCAAGGGACACATAACCTGTTTTGTTTTGTTTTGTTTTGATTGCCAGAGGGTGCATGCGCTAGCCAGAGAGACAAAGAGTGGGAGAGGGAGAAAGCACCCTTCAATGGGGTGTGGTCACCCTGTAATCTCTGTTTCATTCTGCCAGGATTTGGGGCACACATGAACACGTGCCTGATGTCAACTTGCAGGAGTAGGCCATCTGGGATCTGGCTCCCTTTTTTCTTTTTTTTTTTAAGAATTATTTTATTTAACTTTATTTATTATTATTATTTTCATTTTGATCAGAGAGACAGAAAAGAGAGACAGAAAAGAGAGAGAGGGAAAGTGAGAAAGCAAGCCAACACATCTGGGACTCGAACCATGGCTGGCCATGTGGAGGTCCAGTGCTTTTAACCACCACACCTGTTGGCCCAGTGGTCTGGCTCCCTTAACCACTAGGCCACAGGCTGATCCTAACATGTAGCTACTTCAGATACTAACATGATTTTTATTTTTGAAGTGCCAGAGGTTGTGTGCCTTCACTAGAGAGACAGACACAGAGAGAGAGAGAAAGGAGAAAGAGAGAGAGATAAAACACCCAATGGGGTGTGGTCACACCACAATCCGTTTTTCTCCATTTTTCCTTCTTGTCAGGACTTTGGGGATGGGTGTACACACAATGTTGTTGTTATTATTTTAAAAATTTGTTATAGGGCACATGCACTCACCAGAGAGAGACACACAGAGAGAGAAAGTGAGAAAACAGGACACCAGGACCAGGACTCAAACTGTGGTCAGCCATGTCGAAGTTCAGCACCTTAACCACCATGCCACCTGCTGCCTCTCCTTCCTTCCCCAGTGTGTTTTTCAAACTGCTGGGACTAGGATTGAAACTGTAATAGGTCCACGTAGTATCCAGCTTTCCGTACAGTTAACTGCCACACTACAAGGCTCATCCTAATCTGACTTGTTTGTTTTAGTTTGCTACAGAGTGCATGTGCTCATGAGAGAGAGAGAGAGAGAGAGAGAGAGAGAAATCGCCCCACAGTAGGGATGGCCACACTGCAATCCCTTCTCCTACATTCTCCCCTCAGGATTTTGAGCACAGACACACTTGTCCCCAGCATGATTTTCAAGCCACCTGGTCAAGACTCAAACCACTCAGCTGGCCACATGGGATCTAGCAGCCTTAAGCATCGTATTATCAGCTGACCGAACTTTATTTATTATTATTATTATTATTATTTATGATTATTATTATTATTATTATTATTAAATTTACTAGAGGGTATGTGCACTTGCTGGAGAGAGAGTGAGTGAGAAAACACCCGCCCATGGGGAACAGTCACACTACAATCCCTTCTTCTACATTTCTCCCCCACTTTTGAGATTTTGGGCATACACACACACACACACACACACACACACACACACATGGCTGGTGTGTTTCTCAAGCTGCAGCTCCTGGGACTCAAACCATGCAGTCGACCATGGGCTTTTAACTAAGCAGATAGCTTCCTGAAACATTATGAAGAATGTATGTTCGTACATTTCCATGTATTTAGTAGAAAAGGGCATACAAACAAAGGAAAACAAAGAACTTCACTACCCTTCTTCCTTCAGTTTGGCAGATGTGTGTATATACACATATATATACATATATATGCACATACACATAAATATACATACATATATATAAAACTATAGTTACCTATAATGGTGTGTGCACTTGCTGGAGAGACAGAGAGACCACACTACCTGCTGGTCCCATGCAGTGTTCTTTTGATGATCTAGTCTCACCTTCGCTTAAAAGTTTTGATTTAGGGGCCAGCAGGTGGCATGGTGTTAACGCTCTGGACTCCCACATGACTGACTGCAGTTCGAGTACTGGACCTGGTAGCTTTTTTTTTTTCCTCTCTCTCCTTCTCTTTCTCTCTCTCTCTCTCCCTGTCACAATCATACTCTAGCAAATTAGTAGCAAATTAGAAAAAATAATAAATAAAATTAAATATTTTTTAAAAAACCCTTTTTATTTTAATCATCGCATCATAATTTAGTCCCTCCTCTAACAGCCCGTGAACATTTAGAACTACCTAGAAATAATTCACCAGAACTAATTTCTCCAAAATTGAATACATCCTCAAGGAAACATGGGGGATAAAATACCAACAGTAATCAGTAGAGGCAGCTAGTTTTTTTTTTTTTTAAAGGTAAATATAAGTATTTTAGCTAAATAGTTATTAAGAATATTGTGGAAAAAATAGTTTACCTTAGAAAATGTTTCTTCTCCTTTATCTTCCAGTAGAGACTGGGGTGCTGATTCAAAATCCTTTTTCTCGCAGCTCTCCTGGCTGATGAGCGTGTCCGCGTAGTTGGGCTGGGGGAAGATCAGGTGGCTCTTCTCTTCCGAGAGTCCGCGGTGAGGGAGACCTCGTGGGAATAGGTCTGCAGGAAAGCCCGCACCCCGTCCACGCCCACGAAGTGCGAGGCCGGCATGCCTGCCAATCCGCTACCTGCAGCCTGGAGGAAGCGGGACTTGTGCCAGCGCCGCAGCCTGAGCGTCAGCAGCACAACCACGAAGGCCAGAAAGACGCAGGAGACCACAGCCCCAGCCACCACCAGGTACAGCGTGAGGTCTGAATCGTCTTGCTCAGCAGGGGTCTTGATGCTGCCCAGGTCAGCCAGGACATCAGGGATGTTGTCAGCTATGGCCACAGTGAGAGTGACTGTGGCCGAGAGAGGAGGCTGACCATGATCCTGGACGACCATCACCAGGTTCTGCTTGAGCGCGTCTCTGTCCAGCAGGGCCCGCGCTGTGCGTACCTCACCCGTGTGCAGCCCCACCGTGAAGAGTCCAGGCTCGCTGGCCTTGAGCAGGCGGTAGGACAGCCAGGCGTTCTGGCCTGAGTCTTTGTCTACTGCCACCACCTTGGTCACCAGGTATCCGGGCTCCGCAGAGCGGGGCGCCAGCTCCACACCAGTGGAACCATCTGTGGGGAAAGTGGGGTACAGGATCTCAGGTGCATTGTCATTCTGGTCCAGCACGAACAGGCTCAGTGACACGTTGCTACTGAGTGGAGGGGTCCCACTGTCCTGGGCCATCACCCATAGCTGCAGGTCTTGAAATTGTTCATAATCAAAGGAGCGCAGGGCGTAGAGGACCCCAGTGTCTGAATTGATGGAAATGTAAGAGGACAAGGGAGCCCCCTGGAGGGTGTCATCAGCCAGAGAGTATGTTACATGTGCATTGTTGCCACTGTCCGGATCATGGGCCATCACTGAAAAGATGGAGGCACCTCGGGGGTTGTTCTCGGGAACGTAGGCAGAGTAGGACTTGCGGGAGAAGGCTGGTGGGTTGTCGTTGATGTCTGCCACCTGCAGGAAAACATGAGCATCCATGGACAGAGAGGGGTTTCCCCCATCTTTAGCAGTCAGAGTGACATTATAAAAGGAAAACTGTTCCCTGTCAAGGGCTCTGGTTGTAACCAGTCGGTAATAATTGTCCACTGACCTTTCTAACTTGAAAGGAAGGTCCTCCTGGAGGGAACACGTGATAAAAGCATTCTGCCCGGAGTCTCTATCATGTACATTGAAAAGTGCAATTATGGTTCCTGGAGGAGAGTCTTCCGGAATTGAGCTGGTAGCAGATGTCATGTAAAATTCGGGGGCATTGTCATTCACATCCAGAACAGTGACAATAACCTTGGTTCTGGTCAGAAGGCCTGGCCCATCCTGAGCCTCAATATCAATCTCATGGAATTTAGCATCCTCATAATCTAGACCTCTTATGATCGTTAGATCGCCAGATGTCGACTTAAGCTCAAATACCTCTGCGGTTTCTCCAGGAGTTTTCTCGCGAAAATAAGCCACTTGAGCGTTGTATCCCTCATCTGCGTCAGTGGCGGTCACCGTGAGTATTCGGGTGCCTACAGGCACGTTCTCCGGAACACTTACACGGTACTCAGGCTGTGTGAAAACAGGCGCGTTGTCGTTGGCATCCAGGACCTTCACGCGAATGCGGGAGGTGCCAGATCGCACTGGATCGCCTCCGTCAGAAGCGGTGAGAACGAGATGGTGCACTGCCTCTTCCTCGCGGTCCAGAGAGCGCTCCAGCACCAGTTCTGGGTACTTGTTCCCATCTGCTCCGCTTCGCACGTCCAGGGAGAAGTGGTCACTAGGAGAGAGTTCGTACTTCTGGAGGGTGTTCTCTCCTACGTCCGCATCATGCGCACTCTTCAGAGGAATCCGAAATCCTGGCGTAGTCGTTTCACTGATTTTTAGCTCCAGTTCCTCTACTCCAAAGCGAGGGGCATTATCATTAATATCCGTTATTTCCACTTCCACTGAATAAATGGTCAATTTACCTTCCAGCAGTATGTTAAAACTCACCAGGCACCGCGCGCTCTGAGCGCAGAGCTCCTCCCGGTCTATCCTGTCCGCCGTGACCAAGCTGCCGCTTCGCGGGTTCAAGGCAAAGAGCTGCGTCCTACCTCGGGAGACGATGCGGACTCCGCGCTCTGCCAGTGCCAGGGGCTCCAAACCCAAGTCCTTGGCGATATTACCCACGAAGGAGGCTTTGTCCATCTCTTCTGGCACGGAATAGCGAATCTGCCCAGCTCCAGGCTCCCACAGGACCGCCGAAAGAAGGCACAACAGGACCAGCTTTTCGCGGGGTGGCAACTTTTGCAGAACCGCCATTTCCCTTCTGCTGCAGTTTTCTCCGAGTCAATTTCAGTATCCGGTGCGGGATTCCGATCTTTATTCCTCAGGGCTCGAGGTGACTAGCCTTCATGGGTCTCCGTGGGAAGAACTAACGGACTGCTAGACCGAGTTTCTTTGCCGCCCTGAAGCTTGCAGGCCAAACGTCCAGCCCTTTGTGAGTGGGAGCCGCGATGCTGGATTGGAAGGCTCGCTGCCTTTCGCTCCTTCGGTGGTCGACAGCGACGCTCAGAGGCCTAACGAATTTCTGCACCCGCTCAGGGAAACCCAAGTTATTTCTTGCTTATTCGCCTTGTCAGTTTCGGGTTGCCTTAACAAACCTTTTAACTCTAAGATATCATAGAAATACATCTTTCAAGGCAGGAATCTTTTTCTCAGAATTATTAAGAATTTGGTAAACGAATGTGACCTTGATAGCGGTTACTATGAAAATATTATTGAAGTCTCAAGGCATTTTTCAGTGCAGCTGCTGTCCTTGCTCCAGCTTCCACTCTTATTGTATATCGAGAGACAATAAGATTGCATTTTAAACAGCTCTATTTTCTTCTACGGGTCCATATTATGAATTTCTGAGTTTGTTAACTTTAAAACTTGCTTTAATTGACTGAGTTATCAGGCATTTCATTGGCTATATGTGCCTTAACTGAGGTCAGACACAAAAATAATGAACCAGATGAATGAAAGCCTGCTCTGAAGAAGCTTGCAGGATGCGACAGGGCTAGGAAAATAAAGAGAGTAACATAGTACAGGCTAATAACTGCTGTGACATCAGGTGACAAACACTGGCTGATGGGGGAATACATAGGAAGGGTATCCAGCCTGGATTTGGGGGTCAGGAAAGACCTTTTTCAGGATATGATTAAGGCTGAATCCTAAAAGGAAGGGAAAGATCAAGAAATAGGCTAGAATAGTATTCTAGAATTCAGTATATACCCTTTGTATTGAGAGGCAGCACGGAACATTGCAGAAACTGAAGGTGGGCTCTATGGATAAAGCTGGAGCAGGAAAGAGATTTTTTCATTATATTAGGAATCAGTCACTCGAAGTTATTTAAAGTCATCAAGCTCTTTTTCTGATATTTAGTGTTTTCTAAAAGTACAAAATATACGGTTGATTATCTTTTTAATAATGTATTATTTTAATGTACTTGTGTATAGCACATTTATTTCAAAAATAAATTCTGAAATATTTTACATACATATACAGACAAGTACAGGAAAATAATGTAACTGAAGTCTGTGCTTTTGTTAAGTTTTTATTATATAACTGAGTTCTGTGTACATAACATCTAACTCCATCAAATCTTAACATCTTGACATATTTGAGATCCACTTTTAAACTTTTTATTTTCACTTACAGAAAAGTCACAAAAACAGTATCAAAGGATTCCCACACATACTTCATCATATTACCCCACATTTTGATTTCATATTTCTCGCTCTGTCCTTACTGTTTCAGAGTACGTTGAAGACATGATGTTCCTTTACTTTTAAATACTTCAGTGCGTATTTCTTAAAATCAAGAACATTCCCTCATTACAGACATGCGATAAAAATCAATAGAGTGGAATTGGTTTAGTTCTATTATCTAATCTACATATCTTTTTAAAAAATAATTATTTTATTGGGACCAGCAGTTAGCGTAATGGCTATGTCGCTGTTCTCCCATGTAGTTGACCGCGGTTCAAATCCCGGAGCTGGTGGCTTAAACTCACGCCGGGCACATGTGCGTGTGTGCCCAAGATCCCAAGAGGAGAATGGAGGACAAGGGATTGCAGAGTGGCCATCCCCCCTGGGGGTGATTTCTTGCTTTCTATCTCTCTGTCTCTCTCTGTCTGACTGGCATGCACACACGCCCTATAGCAAAAAAACAAAACAACAAAAAAAACCTCCCCCCAAAAAATAAATAAAAAAGAGAGAGAGACAGAGAGATAGAAAGCAAGAAATCACCCCCAGGGGGGATGGCCACTCTGCAATCCCTTGTCCTCCATTCTCCTCTTGGGATCTTAGGCACACATACACACTCGCCCGGCATGAGTTTAAGTCTCCAGGTATGGGACTCAAACTGTGGTCAACTACATGGGAGTCCAGCAACATAGCCATTACGCTAACTGCTGGTCCCTCTCTGTCTTTCTGGTGAGTGCACACACCCTATAGCAAAAACCTCTAAAAATTATTTTATTTAACTTTATTTATTACTATTATTTTTTTTTTCAGTCTGATCAGACAGCGGGGGGGGGGGGGGGGGGGGGAAAAA